ATATATATATATTTGTTTTTGAATGGCTCTACACTTGTGATCTACTTTTTGAAAACATCATTGAGGTACAATTTACCTGTCGTAAGATTTACCCATTTTAAGTGTACAATAAGTTTTTACGTTGACCAAGTTGTGTTGACCATCACCAGTTAGTTGTGGAACATTTTCATCCCCTCTATTTACAACTGCTCCCTGGTCCCACCCAGCCTTCCACACCCAGCCCAGGCAACCGCTAATGTATACTTTTATAGAGAATAGGGTCCATTAGCTCACAGCAGGTTGTAACTTGCTTTGTTCCTGTATCTATAGCCAGGCAGCAGTCGAGTTCCTTGGTTTATCTACTGGGTCATCCAGGTTGTTCTGTTCTTATAAACTGTACTGCAGGGGACACCCCAGGCCAGTCTTTGCTTGGATGGATCCTTCTTTAGTTCTGTAGGCAGACGTTCTGGGAGGGGAATTTATAGTCAGAGACCAGGCCTACTTGTGAGGCTTTTACCCTGTCCTTGGAGAGAGGCAGATTCAGGGTCTAGAGAGATGTGACTTGGGTGTGGGAAAGGTACGGTCTCCAGGTCCCCTGAGATGACAGAAGGTTGAGAGGTAGGCCAGGCAGGCCTCGAGTGCCTGAAAGGGTAGATGGACTGAATCTCGGAGGCAGTGGGGAGCCCTGGGGGGGATTGGAGCAAGGCGTTGCCATGCCTGGGTTATATGTCGGAAGCTTCCTCTGGCCGCTGGAGTGGGGGAATCACAACACTAACTGAACACTTACTGTATCCTGGCACCTAGCTGACCATTGGGTCCCCCTGACAACCCTGAGTAGGGTAGACTTCAGATCTTCATCTTACAGATGAGTGAGTGCCTTGAGGCACACAGAGAGGTTAAGTGACTTGCCTGAGGTCACATAGCCAGAACCTGGCAGAACCAGGATTGAAACTCAGGCTGTGGACTCCAGAGGCCACGCTCTTAACTGCTGTACTCCTAAGAGTGGGGGTGGGGGTGGGAAGCAATAGAACAGGGAGCCCTGGAGGCTGCTCCATGTGGGGCTATGCTGGGGGCCTGGGAGTAGGTCAAAGAAGGGTCAGAGGCCACGCTGTCACCTCCCTCTCCCAGCCCAGAGCAGCCTTGAGTCATGAGACGAGGACTGTCACCAGGCAAGGGGCCAAAGGCCTTGAGCTCCACCCAGCCCTGATGCCCGGCTTTGCCAAACCCTCTGTCCTATGACGGGTTTGGGGGCGGAGCTGCCAGCATGAGCCCTTAGTTCTGTGGGTGAAGGCATTGCCTGGGCCCGGTACACCCCAACCTCCGGCGAGCTCCGTCTCCTCCCAGGGCCTCCCGTTCTGGCTCTGTGCTTTGGGGGGTCCTTGTGGCAGTGGGTGGAGGCAACGAGAGAGCAGTCCTGTGCCATGTTTGGGATTAGTGTTAAGCCCCCGGCAGGTTTCACTGCTCTGATTAATTTCTCAGATCTTGTACATGCTTTTAAATGCCGGAGAGGCAAGTGGCCGTGAGATTCCGGCAGGGGCCGGGCTGAGTAGTCACCCTGGGGGCGCTGGTTTATTTGAAGCCTTTGGTGGCACAGTTCATTCTCCCCTCTGCCCGGGTATCCCCACCTTCACTCTTTTTCATACCCCGGCAGTCCTCCCAGACAGGGTGGCCTTCCTGGATCTCACCCCTCCCCGCCCCAGCTCAGCACTGGCAGTGTTTTCTGGCGCTCTCCCTCCCGGCCCTGGGGTCCGTCAAGGTACCTGAATAAACCACAGGAGGGCCTGCCTTCTAGGTCTCAGCCCAGGCCTGTCTGGCTGTTTTCTGGCTCCAGGGCAGTCCTGGTGGAGAGAACACACATTGGGGGCCATTCTGCCACCCCCCTCCCCACCTCTCCCCGTGTTATCTCACGCCCAGTTCTTCCCCCAGTCCCACCAGGAGGAAATACAGTGCAAGACTGCTTACTGTTCAGCTCTCAGCTCCGGGCATACAACTTCTCAGTCCCCAAACAGCGATGGCTCCCCAGTGCCCCCAAGATAAGGTTCCTTTGTCCCAGCATGGCGTTCCTGACCTGCAGGGCTTACCAGACCTGTCTCTTCGGGGGGATGGACAGAGGCATGCTGGGAGTAGGTTGAGGTGTCTGGGGGTTACCTCCTGTCCAATGTTCACTTTGCTGTGGACGCAAACATCCTGAGTGACCTGGTCAACCCCAGGCAGGGGTCACCGCCAGGCGGAGGACTGGGATCTGGACTTTGTCTGAACAACAGGTGCAGCTCAGTTGGGAATGGCAGCACTGACTGGCCAGAGGAAGTATCTCTGGCCTTGTCTCTTGCCAGCCATCGGCCCTGTGGATGTGCCCTTTGATCCCCAGACCCGACCAGGACGGCATTCGTGTGACACCTATGTCCCATGTGGCTACACAGAGGGGGTTGTGTGAGGGGAGGCAGGAGAGCCTTAGAGACAGATTTGGGGCTCCCACAGGGGGGGATCTTCAAAAAAAATTTTTTTAATGTTTATTTTTTTGAGAGAGGGAGAGAGAGAGAGAGAGAGAGAGACACGCACGAGCAGGGGAGGCACAGAGAAAGAGGTAGAAAGAGAATCCCAAATCCCAAGCAGGCTCCATCCTGTAAGCGCAGAGCCCGACGCAGGGCTTGAACTCATGAACCATGAGATCATGCATGACCTGAGCTGAAACCAAGTCAGAAGCTTAACCGACTGAGCCACCCAGGTGCCCCTGCAGGGGCGGGGTGGTCTCTAAGGCTGGCTCCAGGTGTGTGGTTCCCATGCTGAGTTTGGGAGGTGGCACAGGGAGAGTTTGTGGCCTGGAAAGGCCCACCCCCACCTGGAACCCTGCTCAAGCTCACCCCCTCCCCCCAAGTGACGCTCCAGCTCTCTCCCAGCAAGCCTGTCCCTCCCAGTCACATGCCAGGCCTACCCCTCCTAGGGCTCTGGGGTTCCCACCAGATCGCAGGGGTCTTCAAATTCAACCCCTGCTGTGTGACCATGAACAAGTGGCTTAACCTATCTGGCCTTCAGATTTTCCTCAGTGTACTAAGAATAATGATAGAAGCATCTTCTTGTGAGTGCCTGGGTGGCTCAGACTCTTGATTTCAGCTCAGGTCATGATTCCAGGGGTCGTAGGATCGAGCCCCATGTCCGGCTCCTCACTGTGCACGGAGCCTGCTTGAGATTCTTTCTCTCTTCCTTTGCCCCTGTACCCTTCTCACGTGATCTCTCTGTCTAAACAAACAAACAAACAAATGAAAACCTTTTCTTGGAGTTGTGGGCAATCAACCCATTAGAGCTCAGCCCATTTAGAGCTCAGCCTCTAAATGAGCTCATTTAGATCAAGGGCTTACGTAGCACAGGACACATAGTAGGCCCTCAACCAATTTTCATCCTTTAGAGCACTTAACCAGGACCCGGCACCTAATATGTTTAGCTTATTATCCAAGGATCCTATGTTGGAAGTTTCTATGGACTGTGGTTCCAAGTTCTCAGCACCATTTTTGATTCCGGCTCTCTGCTTGGGAGACAAGGTGGGGCTGGGTAAAGTGGGGAGCCTCTCACCTCTCCCCCTGCCCGATCCCCAGGGGGCAACACCCAGTCCTCAGCTACCATTAAAGATAAAGAGACTAGGGGCGCCTGGGTGGCTCAGTCAGTTAAATGTCTGACTCTTGATTTTGGCTCGGGTCGTGATCTCACGGCTTGTGAAAATGAGCCCTATGTCAGGCTCTGTGCTGACAGCCCTGAGCCTGCTTGGGATTCTCCCTCTCTCTCTCTCTCTCTGTCTCTCTCTCTGTCTCAAAACTAAATACACATTAAACAAAACAGCAGCACGTGGCCTTCGAACCAATACATCCTCTTCAGGTTGAAAACAGGCTGCAGGTAAACAACCCAAAAGGGGGAAATAGATGTACGGCACTACTATTTAGACAGGGGACAGCTGCTCAGCGGTAGGGGACTGCCCCCAAACTGCCACTGTCTCGGGCCCTGGGTTGGTTTTCAGCTGCCAAAATGATGAGTAGGTGCCCCAAGCCTTCACCTATGACAAGATGTCTGAATTGGTGCTTCCTCGCACCTGGTATAGTGGCCATCTTCCGGGTCACGTTCAGGGTTGTTTGGTGTGTGCCGTTGGGAACTAGCGTGTGGAGTGACACAGAGGAGGGAAGAACCTGAGAAGGTGACATCAGATCGCGTTTTGAAAGAGGAGCAGTAGTTTGCTAGGTAGACAAAGGCTACCGGGAAGGGCATTCCTGGTAGAGGGAACAGCCTGGGCGAATGCATGGTAGCCCCGAATAGCATGGCGTGTTCGGAAAGCAGACGGGGAAAGTGAGGCAGGGAGAGAGCCCTGTGGCCGGAGACCGGCAGCGGGACGGTGGCTGGCTGGCTGTACAAACCTCTGATTCTCGTCCCCTCTGTGCTCAGCCCTGTGCTGAGTGATGCCAGGGTTCGGGCCCTCCCAGGCAAGGCCCGGCCACTAATGGTGGTCAGGAAGGCCTCCGGGAAGGGGCAGTGACAGAGCTGAGCCTTACTGAGCTTTGTGCTGCCTCCTCTTCCGTTCTTGCACACCACACACACCTCCTGACCGGATACAAGTGCTGCCAGCAGGTTGGGGCAGAGCCAGGCTGGAGCGAGGGCCCTCTCCTGTCTCTGGCAGGCTGGAGCTGACCAGTGTGGACTCTGGGGTTGGTGGACCTGTGTCTGAGTCCCAGATTCTCTCCTTGGCAGAGGCAGCCACTTGGACACACGGCCTCTCTCTGAGCCTCAGTTTCCTGGTCTGTCTCGAGGGCCCATGCCCAGGTATGCTGGGGCTGCAGCCATGGGCCCATCCTCTTCCAGGAAGAGCCAGCACACATTTGCACCCCCAGGCAGCCCCGAGTGCACAAAGGACAGTCTGTCCCCGTTGCATCCATGACCGGCCGAGGTCGTGCAAACCTGCTGACCTGAATCCTCAGGAGGATCAAGGAGGCACTGGTAGGAGCAGCAGGAATGAATGGCAGGCAGAGCGTAGCCCTGGCTTCCCAGAATGTTCGGCGAGTGTCCCATCCCTGCCTCGTGCCCTTCAAGCAGGCAGAGGTGGAGTGCTGCGGGCGTCCTATAAGCCCTGTCCCATGTCCTCTCCTGTGACGGTGCGGCTTTATATCCTTCACTGTTCCTCAGAGTTGTGCAACTTTGTGATCTGCATTGCACGGGACAGTTTGCAAATCCTTTTCCTGCCCATTTCCTGGAGAATTGGTGTCCTTGGCTCAGGCAACAGACAGCCTGGAATCTCAGCTTCCTGGCTGCCTCCCTGAACTCTGTCCCCTCTTTGCTCCCTTTGCTCTGGCGACACTGGCCTCCTTGCTGTCTCAGCATCATCACACCAAGCTTGTGTCTACCTCAGGGCCTTTGTACTTGCTGTTCCTTCTGCTCCGGACATTCTTCCTCCCTCCCGGTCTCTTTCATTCAGGCCTCTACTCACATGTTACCTCCTCAGAGAGGCTTGCTGATCACATGTGTAGCGGCCCCTCGCACTGTCTTTATGTGGCCTCTGTTTCTTCGTGGTGCCCGTCACCATCTGTACCCACAATTCCTCCATGTATTTGCAGACTGTCGGTCACTGGAACATAAGTTCCACGAGGGAAGGCCTTTATGCTTTGTCCCTGTACCCTCAGTGCTGGCAAAGGCCTGACACACAGTAGACACTTAAGAAAAGGCAGTAGATATCGTCAGAGAGACAACTCTGGGCTTCACGGACCAGGCCATGTGAGGGAGGTGGTGAGCTCCCTATCTTAAGAGGCTTGCACACAGAGCTTGTTTGGGGTTCAAGGCCTCATGAAGGTTGGATGGGCTGGAGGCTTCTGTGATGATCAGATCTGGGCTCCTGCCAGTTGGTGGTATTGGGTCCTCCCAAGATTTCCATCATGGCCTCACAGAATAAACAGGCCAGAGAATAAAAGGCTGCCCCACATCTGCCTTCCAAAGGAGGTTTCAAGGTAGAACCAGGGAGGGAGAGGGGCTCAGGTTTCCTGTTGGGCCCTGCTACAATCAGGGCAGGACTGGAGAAAGGAGAGGAAAAGGGAGGAATCCAGGCTTGGGGAGGAGGTGAGGAAGGTGAAAGATTGGAGGGGGTGCGAGATGGGCCCACTGAGGCTCAGAGTCTATGCCTCCTTTTCTTCCTTGTGTTCAAGGGCATGGACCTTCGGGCCTTCTGAGTCTCTCTTTATGCCGGAAGCCTAGTGTTCAGCTCACTGGAGAAGGGTCCACCACTTGGGAGCCATGGCCAGCTTTTTGGGGCCCGCTGTCTTGGGCACTTCTCTTGCCTCGCCCTAGTCCCAGCCCAATTTACTCTGCGTAAAACTATCTTCATTAAATGGTCACGGAGCTCTGACTTGAATGTTGCAAGTAATGGGCGACTCACTACCTGCCTTAACAGCTCTAGACCATTTTATTTGCTGCAGAGGGACTAACGTTTATTGAGATCTTGCTGAATGCTGGGTGTTTCATACACTTGCTCTCTTATTATTTTTTTTTCATTTTTTTTTAGTGAACCTACAATGTTGTATTAATTTCAGGTGTACCATATAGTGATTCAGCAATCCTATACATTACTCAGTGCTCATCCTGATAAGTGTGCTCTTAATCCCTGCCACGTCCTTCATCCATCCCCACCCCCACCCTCCTCCCCTCTGGTAACCACCAGTTAGTTCTCTGTAGTTAAGAGTCTCTTTTTTGCTTTGTCTTTTTTCTCTTTGGTTTTTTAAATTCCACCTATGAGTGAAAGCGTATGGTATTTGTTTTCCTCAGACTGACTTCTTTCATTTAGCATCACACTCTCCAGCTCCATCCATGTCGTTGCAAATGGCAGTAGTTCATTCTTTTTGATGGCCGAGTAATATTCCATTGTATATGTTCATTTTTCTTTCAGCTGTTGATGGGCACTTGGGCTGCTTCCATAATTTGGCTTTTGTAAATACTGCTGCAGTAAATATGCTTGCTCTTCTAGAACCCCACCCCTGTCACCTCTGGAGACCAGGGGTGGAGGCTCAGAGAAGGGGAGTGACCTGCCTGGGATTACGTGGCAGGTGAGGCACAGAGGGAAGGCCCGCCCCGTTGGCCGTATGGGGAAGAGGAGGGCTGTAGGGCTTGCTCTCAAATTTACCCCCCCTCTTAGCTCTGGCACCCAGCTTCTGCAGGAATTGGCGGGCACATTCAGCTCCAGGGGAGAGTGAGATGGGGGGCTGCTCAGGCCGTGAGTTCGGGGAGAGGCTGGCCCCTCATATGCCACCAGATGCCTTGTGACACGCAGGCCCTCTTTCCCGCTGCATCTTAGCTTAGACCGTGTCCTCTGCCCCATGGCCAGCGCCCCCTCTCAAGAGACTTTCCTGACTCCTGCTACCCTCAGGGGGGCATTGGGTGACCATTCTCCCTCCTACCTCCTCAGGATGGAATGGGGGCAGCGCACAAAGATGTGGGAAATGGAAAACAAAAAGGCATGAAACTGTGGAGAAGGGAAGAGAAGGATGAGACAGGAAGTGGGTGTCCCAGGCCTGACACCCTCAGGGCTGGCCCTGGCCCTGCCCTGAAAAGTTTCAGGCCAGTATTTACTTGTCGGTCCTGCCACATTCTGGGCTCAAAAACTGGGGAACGTGGTAAGGAAGAACAGAGCCGTGAGGGTCTGCTTTTGAAACTTGTGCGTGGAATTCAGGCCTTGGTGTCTAACCTGTCTTCAGTCTTTCCAGCAGCAATGCTTTGGATGAGGTCACAGTCTTTCCAGCAGCAATGCTTTGTTTTGTTTTTTTTGGGGGGGGGCGGTGAGAGAGGGTGTGAACACCCATAAGCTGAGGAGAGAGGGAGGTGGAGGTGCTAGAGAATTTCCTTATCCTTGGCACCCCCTCCAAAGCCATGGAAAGATCTAGAAAGATCAGGAAGTAGATGTGTGTAAGGGAGATGGGGCTGAGTTTCCTTGTTTATAGGCTGGTGGAGAGGGAGAGAGATTGGGGGCAGGAGGGACTCCAGGCCTGAACACGCTGCTCACTCTGCCATGCCTGCCTGCCTGCCTGCCCAGGATTCAGCCACCCTCCAAGGCCGCAGGAGACAGAGACAGAGGAGGGGCAAGCCCCCGTGCTACAGTTGAAGGCTGGGGCAGGACTTGCTGGTGGTCTGTTTGGCCACAAAAGCCCAAACTGGCAACCTGGGCAGCTTGCCAGGCTCTGTTCATCTGTATGTGTGTCGAACTTTGACCTTACTCAGAAGGGGAGGCAGTCCTAGGTACCTCCTCAAAAGACCCCCAGAGCCCGTCACCCATGCCTTCTTTACCTTCTGTCCCAGGGATTAGGCTGCCTCTTGGGCTCCCAGGACCCTGCAGTGAATAAGTGAGTCAGGCTATACCTGGCGATTGCTGGGGGGG